AGTTTCGGTCCTTTGTCACAGCTCGGCGTCCATCGACCGCGCAGTGTCCCAATTAGGGGTTGATGGGTGGAGTACCAAGGTTGGAATGACAAATTATTTACATTTTATTAAAAAAACGATTATTTTCTTTCCTACAACGATAAAGTTTTCCAGTTGCCTTGCAATACTCACAGGTCGAGAGCAACGAAGACAAATTCACCACAAAAAAATTAGAATAAGATTTAATTTAGTTTTCTACCGTAGATAGTATACTCAGTTACACAAAAGCTAAATAAAACCTCCATTACTTGTTACATTAGCTGAATTTAACATTGGCTTAATAGGAGATTCGATCACAGATTGTACTCGTTCACCAAACATGGATTGATATTTGCGTTCTGATGTTTCAGTATTCCCATTGCGCAATTCTCAAATATGGAAAAGTCTGCAATAGAAAAATTTGATTGGCACTTGTCTCACAGTAATCTCGCATTTGATTCACTGTATTTTTCGAATTTGGTTAAATTTTGATTTCCAAGATTTATATTATAGGTAGACTATTATTTGACACTAAGTATTACCTTTTACAGGTATAAAACGGCACTTTGGTACCGGTTCCGCCTTTTCTGTACGTTTGCTTGTACCAGCTGGAACGCTGCGAAGACTATCGAGACATACGTCGTCGCTCAACTCGTCAAAGTCCCCTACACTTTCCGCTGTGTGCGTTTTAGAATTGACCAATATTCGAATCACCTCCACAAACTCGGCCTCCTTCGCCGACGCTTCGCACAGTTCCAAAAGGCTCTCTATAAATAGAAGGGTGTACACGTTGGGGTTGTCTTCGGCGATTTCCTTCAGATGTCGCACCGTAGAAAAGATAGCCTCGATTTCTGAGTGATACACGAACGGCGATAACGTCCGCATGTTCGGGTACTTTTGGAATACCGATTTTTTTATGTTATCCTTCACGTGCGCCTGCAAAACCAAAACGTCGGACTTCAAATCGGATAGGTGACGTTATTAAGCCCCCCCCCCCCCCCCCCTGTACAATCGTGAAATTAATAAAAACGAGTAGAGGGTACCTTAAGCTTTTCAACAACAAAATTTGCGAGAGAAACGCTAAATTTTGCACAATCTTAATTAAAAGTTAACTTCAGTTCGTCGAAATCTGAGGTTATGTTACTTATATTTCGTCATTCTTAATTTGGCGAATCTACTAAATTGAAATATACTGGGTTTAACGTGTATATTAACAGTTAGTGTAATAAAGTAGGTAGTATAATATAATGGTATATTAGGTTTAGTTCGTCTTGTACACAAAATACGCGGAACTTCCATGTAACATGTGGATACACTTTAAAACCACTTTTGGAAGCACATGCAGTCTGAACTTGAATGCCTTCGGGAAAAAATGTCGTACAGAGGGTTACACTTTGCATCTGGCAAGGATCGTCTTTTCCATATCGGCCACCGAGAGAGGAAACCTTACCAGGAGGAGGGGGCATCTATCTTCCATAGACCGCCTCTTTGTTAGCAACCGCCGATTATCTTTGAACCCCTTTTCTATATCAGCCCGTGACTAGCATCTATCGCCTCATCACTCGAGAGGGGAAGAAACATCTTAATGTACCCGTGAATTATGTAAAACATGTAGATGACTACTTAATGCTCCAAAGATGGTAAAATCAGAATCACATGTATAGGTATACATCATTTTCTAACGTTTATTAAACCGTGGAAACATAACATAACATAACCTCTATAATCATGAAATATGCAGTAACATAACCTCGCATTTTCACGAAATTATGTGAACTTTGTATTGAGATTGTGAAAAATATGGCTTCTATGGCAAATTTGTTGTTGAAAATGCTTAATTAATGCCCCCCCTACCCATTTTTGTATATTTCATGATTGTACCTGGTGGACTAAATGACAGCAAGGTAGCGTTGCCATCCGTCCTCTTTTCCCCGGACACTGTCCTCTTTTTTTGCGCGTCCGGGGTATGTCCGGGGAACATTTTTGATTTGTCCGGGATTTAACAAACAGAAAACTTTTGATCAAAATATTGATAAATCAAACCATCAATGACGTCAACATGATCAGTTTACGGTCTATATATAGAGTAACGCCGTAACCTCTCTGTCTCTGTTTGTTGTCCGTTTCGTGGTTTCGAGATAACGTGCACGTGCAGCAGGATCAGAACATCCACAAAAATTACAAAGGTAAGATGCTAACATTATTATTATATCGTACTCCTACCTAAGCTTAATTCAATATCGTTCCATAACCTCACGATAGTCCATCAGTCTATAATAGTAGTTTTTGGTAATTACCTATTTATATGTTTTTTTCACTATTTCAGAAACTAAGTAAATAAATCCCAATAAGGGAAATGTATTTTATGACGCGCTGCAAAGGAAATATCCGCTTTTTTAAGAAGTGCAATTAGTTTGGGAAGTTGTTTGCACGCTTTGTTCTTCTACAATTCGTAGTTATTTTTATTTAGATAGGTTGGCATATCTATTTATCATATATGTTTAATAAAAAAACGTCATAAGACAAAAATTTGACTTTTTTTTTGCCTGTCCGGGGTATATAGTAAAATGTCCGGGTTTTTACATTTTGAAATTCTAGTTTCTAAAATTATACGATGGTAACCCTAACCATGATGAAACAAAAGATGTTCAATTCTCACTTCTTAACAAAATGCCGTTTTGAAACTGAAAAAATTCCGACTACTTTCGGAGATATTCGGAAAAAAACGAACTCTTGCAAAATCGTTTTATTTTTTGCCGAAGTTATTTAAAAGGATATTCCAAAATAATGACATATTATTATGACCACTTTTTTCCCTCAACAAGATGCTAGTTTTAAATTTTAAGTGCGACGTTTCGTCTCCGGTTAACTATCATCAACTTTATTGAAGCCATATTTCCTTTTTATGTCATTTAATGGAGCTTTTTTCTGATTTCAAAAATGTAAACAATCATTAATAAGAAATAGCGCTATTAATTCGTAAAAACGCAAGAAATCACGGACATACACTGTGACTCAAGACAATGTTTA